AGAATGCTTTTTAACATATACCGACAAAAGAAAATTTACAAAGCGTGACTTTCCTTAATTTTTATTTGTTCTACCTTAGCCTCTTCGTAGAGCCTTGTGCATGCACTTGATCATTCACTGCATGCCCTTGTTCTGTCTTGTAAGTAATTTAGTTTATGCTTATACTGTACATGCATGTACCTTTGAATTCCTTAATGAGTAGTGGGTGTAAGTATGATCATATTTCTTAAATCCTTACAAATTTGAACTAAATTAGTTAATTACCTCGAACATTGGTTTCTTAGCGAGAAACATCCATTTTCGCCCAGGCAAACAAGACAGATATTTTTTCCTGTAGAAGTGCAGTGCAATATATTTTCCCCAATATATTTCGCGAATCCCAAGGGGGGGGCATAGAGTAGAGTACTCGAAAATGGGGGGAGGAGGGTACAGTACATGAACAACCTGTAACCTTGGGGGTTTGGGGGCATGCTCCCTCAAGAAAATTTTAAAATTTGAACCTTGGAAATGCTATTTCCTGTGTTTTCAGCCACAGATTTGTGCAACAACTTTGCCGTACCAAGTCTAAGGAACACTTACTGTCCCTTATTTTAAACAAGGAAAAATCACAAAAATGAGCTTTGGTTAATATGTAATAAAACAAGTTTTCAAGAATCTCTAAACTGCCATTTTTGCATTAAAATCATCATATATATACAGTATGTTCAACTTGCATCCTGTAGATAGGCCTTCGCAGCTTTAATAGTTTGGAGTTATGTAATAAAAAACGCACAGACTTGAAATGCATATTAGGTATGTATAAATAACTTATAAACTTGTACATTTCTTAAGCCCAGATTTTCCCAGGAGGGGGCAACAATTTTTCCAGTGAATGCCACTGGCTATCATATGTTAGAGGCTCCAAAGGCAGTAGAATCCATGTGATGAAAATGTCCACTGTTCACCCCAAGTTCTTTTAAGCAAATGTGCTTGCACAAAAATGCAAAATCGTGCAAGTTTGTGGTTTACATGCAGGAATTTTTTTGAGCGCTCTCTTTTGCATATTTTTTTTCTCGATTGTATGTTGCATGATTTTTTCTTTCTCCTTGGGTTACAGGAAATTTTTTTTCGAAATCTCCCAACCCCCCCCCCTCAAAAGTCAAATGGTCCACCCCTAACTTATCAGGCAACTAGCAGTTAATACATGTAAATAGCATGTCAACTGACATTTGTACAAGTATGATCCCTGATGGCCTGTTTATATCTTTGAGACATTTCCACTGGCATTGTTAACATAATATGAACTAATCCTACTAGGCTACTCATACATTCACCTGACTGTGTCACTATATTTTCAGTGGTGTGCTATATTATACGATGATGATCACAATTTCTTATTATATAATTTTGTGGTTCTGACTGAGTACAATGAATGGTGTCATCTGAAGCTGATTTTGTCTCTCCATCAGATTGTTTGATTGTTGTTTTTTTTGTGATAGGGGTAGCCTTGGAGGTGCCATGTGAATAATAACTTAGCTTAGCAAAGTGCTCCAGGATTCAAATTATAACAATGGTTGATTTCTAAAGGTCTCCTTTTTCTAATACATGCACTATGAAAAAGCATTCAAATTTTAACAGGTACACCCTGTACAGGGTGTATATAAAAAAAAGGTAATCGAACTTCAGCGCGCTATTGTATCTGAATTACTCTGCGTATGAACAAGATTTTTTCACATTCGGAAAGATCATGCTTTTAGCTGTTGAATGATATCTTCTTCATGCCAAATTGATAAAAAATGAGCAAATACGAATCCGATAACAAATGTTAGTCAGAATCGCATATTTTCACCGTTGAGAGTTGAGTCTAAAACCATTGAAAATGAACCCCCTTTAGTACTTAAGTTGATGAATTTCCCTTCATTAAAAGGATGCACATATTCATAATTATTATCAAGTAGGAATAAATCTTAGCTAAACTAGACAGTTCGTGATTAATTGCTTTTTCTTTTGTTATGCATTGTTTTAATTAGGCACAGAGGTGAAAATATGCGATTTTGACTAACATTTTTAATTAAAGCATGTCATTCAATAGCTCAATTACCTTTTTTTTTATACACATATGAGCGACAGGATTATTTTGGAATATACAATGCAAAGAAGTCTGTATACTATTCAGTTTTGATGTAATAATTGGCTCTTTGTATAGCAATAAGTATTGTATCATTTGCAAGAGCTGACCTTTGAACTGCTGATAAATAAAAGCTTCTTATAGTGCGCTATCTTGCGATTATTCAGTATTAATTGTTGACTGTTTCTTATTTTCAATGAAAAATTGATTGTGAATTAAAAATTAATTATAGCACATATAGTTCACTCGGTCTTTTCCACCATGGCATACTTCCCTTCAAGCATTAACTATGCTTCAAGATATTGACTTGAATGCGCAATGAATGTTGTTATTGGAAATATAATATCCCTTACAATAAGCGGCAGACTGTTTCATTATGGCGCATGAAATTCATCACGCGAAAAACGCGTTCGACTTGCAGCAGGGTAATTTGACGAAATTTTGCTATTTTTGTTAGCTAAAAACATTAACAAGGGAACAAAGTTTCCTGTGTTAATTTGGAAACCGTACATTTATTTGTAGATAACATTTAATGACGCGATTAACATTCGTTTGATGCCGATCATCGTAATATAGCCGCATAAAATAATGAAACGAAGCCTAAATGTAAACTTTCCAAATTTATTCAATAAACAGTGATATTATGTGTGAATGATTATCGCAATTCTGCATCCTCTCAGTCACGAAATATACTGCTGCAGAGCCTCTGAATAAAAAGTATAATTTTTTGTGTTGTTTTTTGAAATATACATCACGTGATCGTTGCCATGACAACGAAAAGTAGGTCAACTTTTAGAATCTCCTTTGATAAATCATATAAAACTTGAATGGTAATAATCAAGGCCATACTTATTTTTTTATGATTTTTTGTCTATTTTGCTAAATACACAAACTGAGACCCAGGCATTAATGTACCTGAGTTCCCTAACCTGAACATTCCAACATGTGATGACCCTGATTGTAATTCGAATTCAGACAATGAAAGATGTTGTTTATCTGATTCCGAATCAGAAGAAATAAGTTTAGAGGATGGTTTAGTTGATTTGATTGGGTTAACCATTTTCAAGTAAAGCACAATGCAGTTGACAGTCTGTTAAAGCTAATTAAGCAGTCTGGTCATACTTGTTTGCCTGCAACTGCCAGGTCATTGGGTACAGCCAGAGTTATTACCTTAAAAAAATCTGGGATGGAATATCTTCAATTCCTGTTAGGTGAATCACTCCTGGAAAATTTTCACTCCTATCCCCAAGATATCAGCGAAAATGTTGACCATTTAGAATTGAATTTTAACATTGATGGAATCCCTTTGTTTAAAAGTTCTCGAAGTAGTTTATGGCCAGTTCTATGTGGAATAATGAATGTAACACCAGTCAAAGTATTTCCTATAGCACTTTCATATATATGCACCTTCGTACGGATGAATCTTTTATACACCAATCTAACTCGAACAGGGAACATCACCATGGTACATCCCCTTTATGTGATCTTGATGTAGATGACAAAAGCCTTTCCACATGATTATATGCATCTGGCATGCCTTGGGGTAGTGAAAAAGTTGATCCTTGCCTGGATGAGGGGGAAAAGGGGATGTCTGCTCATCAAATAGATGAAATAAGCAAATTGGTCAACCTAAAAAAATGCATTCCCAGCAGCTTTGCTCACAAACCACAGGGTCTGGCAGAAGTGGACAGATGGAAAGCAACTGAATACAGGCAATTCCTTTTATATACTGGGAAGATTGTTTTGAAAGGAATCTTAAGAGATGAATTATTTAAGCACTTTTTAACTCTGAGCATTGCCATTTCAATTCTAGTATGCCCTGAACTTGTACAAACACATCTGAATTATGCCAGTGAACTACTGAAATACTTTGTTGCAAAAGCTAGTGAGCTTTATGGTTAGGAATTTATTGTGTATAATGTACAGTCTTCTTCACTTGACTGAAGATGTTGCTGTGCATGAAAGCGATGTATTCCTGCAGAGTACACTCAGAGCGTATGTTTGTTTCACCCTGTGACTCGAGAATTGTTGGAGTGCACAAAGTTTGTGGAAGAAATGCTCACATGAAATTGCTGCCTGAGAGTGCCTTGAGAAGCAAGGCAATCTTCATTAAACTTGAAAATGACTGCTGTCTTCTTGGCAATTTTACATTAACTTTAAGCTCTGCAGTTCCAATATGTCTTACAAGAGAAGTTAAAACAAATTTGGTAAATATATACATATATATGTTTAGGGAAGCTAGTCATCTTTACCATGTTTTTCTTAATCCATTAATCACCAGTACTCTACCACTGACAAGTAAAATCGTCTGGCGTTAGACAGAGTAAACACTAAATTAGGGTGTGTTGCCCGCTATTAGATTAACAAGAGACATGGGCAGATAGGTCTGTTAACCCCCATTAACCACTAGTACTCTACCACTGACGAGTTAAATCATCTGGCGTTAGACAGAGTAAACACTAAAGTAGGAAGCATTTGGGCACATTGCCTGCTAATGGGTTAAACTGGGTTAGTCAAGAAACTATGTGTGTATATTATCTTTTACTGTAGATGACCAAGTTTGCCATTGTCAAATTTACAAATGAGCATTCAGCTTAATTTTCTACCAGAGACCTGGATTGAGACACAAGTTAGCGCGAGTGTTATCATTTTGTAACTTTTGGCTGTAAAAACAATTTCCTTTACTTTGGAGAAATTCCAAGTATTGATTATTTTTTTCTCATAGGTAATTTATTGTTATTGTCCTCGAAATAATGTTGGAATTTGTGTAAAAAAATGGAAATGCCTGATAAACAGAAATGGTCATTACATCGAGTTAGAATCCTTAGCTATGCAGGTACATGATAAACCTTTGTAGTTTTGGGGTGATGTGATATTGAAATAAAAGTGATATAATATAATATAATATAATATAATATACCCCGTGGATATTCGTCCGACACCGGATCTTCCTGCTTCACGGCTATTCATCCGACAACGCTTTAAAAGCTAACACTAAACCACTAAAAGGGTTGCGTTGTTTCTTAAGAACGAAGCAACAACATATTCGATACGCTATACGTTAGGAAGAAAAAAAAAAGTATTAAAAAAAAATAATAAAATAGTGGCGCGAGCAGGGATCGATCCCAGAACTTGGCGCACACAATACGGGTGCCTAAACCACTACACTACGAAGGATTCGCTTGATATTCAA